AAGGGGGGGGCAGGGGTGGGGAAGAGACAGAAATCTTTAATAAATAAATAAATAAATAAATAAATAAATAAATAAATAAAATACTGAAAAAAAAAGCTTAATACATCAAGCCATCAAGCATATGCAATGATGGAGGAGTGCCCACATCTGCATATAAAATAGGATGGTTGGGATTGGACAGGTGTCTTAGTTAGGGTTTTATTGCTGTGAAAAGACACTATGACCACAGCAACTTTTATTTTTATTTTGTCTTATTTTGAAGACATTCAATTGGGGCTGGCTTACAATTCAGAGGTTTAGCCTATTGTCATCATGACAGGAAGTATGGCAGCATGCAGACAGACATGGTGCTAGAGAAGAAGATGAGAGTTCTATATCTGGATTCAAAGGCAGCAGGAAGAAAGAATAACACCAGGTCTGGCTTGAGCATCTGAAACCTTAAAGCCCATCCCCAATGACACACTTCCTCTAAAAGGCCACATACCTCCTAATGCTGCTATTGCACGGTGACCAGACATTCAAGTACATGAATCTATGGGGCCATTCCTACTGCAGGCACCACAAGGGTGGCTCAGTTGGTAAAGTATTCTTCAAACACATGGATCTGTGTTCCCCGGAAGCCATGCAGAACTGCTGTAGTTTTGTGATCCCAGCACTAGGGAGGCAGAATCAGGAGTAGCCCTAGGTCTCACTTGCCAGCCACTCTAACTTACTTGGTAAACCCCTGGTCAGTGAGAAAGCCTGTCTCAAACAAGTGGATGGTATCCCTGAGGATGGCATTCAAAACTGTCTCTTGAATGCCATGAATTAAAAAATAATTAGTAAGAAAAATTCCACATTCAAACAGAAACATGATACTTTCATATTTTTAAAAAAATCTTGATTTTTTTTCCCTTTTCAAACTTAGACAGAAATATGGGTGATGCGGGATTCCCCTATATATGCTGTGAATATGTTTTATTATCATTGGTTAATAAAGAAGCTGCTTTGTCCTATGGCAGGGCAGAATATAGCCAAGCTGGAAGAGATATAGGGAAAAAGACGGCAGGGTCAGAGAGACACCATGTAGCTGCAGAGGAGATAAATGCCAGAACCTTACCAGTAAGCCACAGCCTCATGGTGATATACAGATGAATAGAAATGGGTTAATTTAAGATGTAAGAGTTATCTAGGAATATGCCCAAGCTATTGGCCAAACAGTGTTGTAATTAATATAGTTTCTGTATAATTATTTGGGTCTGGGCAGCCAGGAACAAACGAGCAGTCTCCACCTACACATGGGTTAAATAAGTATATAATTTCCTTCTTTAACCTACTACAAGAAAAAAAATACCTGAAGTATATTGACAAGGATTAAGTGATGTAAATAACTCTGAATTGTATTGGGAACTGTAGCACCCAAGATTACTGTGGTTACTCAGAGCTGAGTTGTTACTCAGTTATTGTCACATAGGAACATTGACTTCAGTTTCTCAAGAGAAATTTAGGCTCTTTCTTTAGGTTTTTATAGAAAATGTTATGTTTTAAGTATTGGCAATTGAATCGTTTAAAAGCAAATCAAGGCACCGTGTGAGTGAACAGAGCAGGAGAGTTGGTACAGCCCCAGAGGGGCCCAGAATATCATATGAATCAATTTTTTAAAAAAGTAAAAATGAGAGCTGGCCAAGATGGCAAAAACTTATAATTCAGCATGTGGAGGGTGAAGGCAGAAGATTGAGGAGTCAAGTTGTCTTTAGCTACATAGTAAGTTCAACGCCAACCCTCTCAAAAAGCAAACAGGTTTTTATTTTAAATGGCTTAATGTGATGCTTTACTTATAATGATGGAATATTAAAATATTTTAATATATACTGCTTATATGTATATAAAATGTAAGGGTTTTTAAATTATTTTTTGAGAAAGGGCCTCACTAAGGTAGGCATGGCTGGCCAGGAGCTCTCCATGTAGGCCAGACTGTCCTTGATATAGAGATCTACCCACCGCTGCCTCCTGAGTGCTGGGGTTAAAGGTGTGAGACAATATCCTCCGTCCAAATTTAAGTTCTTCAGTACGATAATTATTACACGGGGGAATGTACAGAATTCATGATTTTTTGTAGAAATTGTCTTTAAAGCTCAGGACACGGCTACTTGAGTTTGAGAGCAGAACAACAGTACAGAAAAACTGAGAGTCCTCAGAACTGTTGGGAGCAGGGGTACAGAAAAGAGGAAAGAGAGTTCATGTTTATAAGTAGAGGCCTAGACACCAATGTGTGAAGTGTGTCTGGAAGCATAAGCAAACCACTGAGTGACGTTGGAAGCTCTGGGTGAGGGAGAGGGAGAAGAGCTATGCAGGCCTTTGCTGTGTGGGGAGATATAAACCATGAATGTGCAAACGGGACACCTTTCTCCACAGGTGCCAGTGAGGTACTGCTGTCTTCTCACCAAAGGTTTCGGTGGGGTAGATCTTGGGTGGAGTGGGAACGATGGTTTAAAACACACAGCTAACTGCACAAGCAAATTAGCATCTTGAGAATAAGAGTGCCATACAACTCCAATAAAGAATCTCTTAGAGGAAATAGCGATCCTCTTTTTGTTTTTTTTTTGAGAACAGTCTTATACCTCAGCATACTGAGGGTGGAAAAGCTGAAAGTTTTCACTTCCCAGAAGTCCTCAAACTTTGTAGTTACTATTTTATTGCCATTGCATACGTGGTTGGCAGTTACTAATTTAACTCTACCAAGAGACACTCCACATATGACAGAGGCCTTTAAAAAGGAGAAGAAGAAAGTAAGGCCATTACCTGGTGAGGGATTATGTAGATGAGGAAGATGAGGTGGCCCAGAGAGCTCCTGGTGACTGGGCTGGCCAGCAAATAGCCTATCTAGTAACTTATCAGAAGAAGACACGGTCCAAGCCTTGCAGGAGAACCCTTGGTTAGTGTCACCTTTCCAGGGATTATCTAGTGACATCTGGCAGCCAGTCCTGTTATTTAATAAGTCCTGTTCACTTCGACTTTTCTGAGAACGTTGGGCTGTGTGCTGAGGACCAGAGCTTAGGCCAGCATGGGAAGTGACTCCATGGGAGGCTGTCAGGAAGTGATTGCCCAGAGTGATGGGTGGGAGACTCTGTGTTCTGATTGGTGGAAGTCCTTTCCGGGCTAGGGGTTTCCTTTCTGGCAAGAGATACTTTGAATTCTCTGAGGTCCTCTTCTTAAAGACAACCATAGCCACCTGATCACCAGGCTGATCTTGGCAGTTGGTATCCACGACACTGTCAAAGGTGGCAATGATGTCATTGACTTCCGAGGTGTCCTCCTCCTTGTGTCTGTCCCTGCTGTGGTCCTTTGGATGGGCTTTCTGCTCTTCTTTCTTGTTTGTGCAGAAGATCTGGTTGAGCACGCCGAATCGTTCTTCCTTCTTTTGGGGTCGGCTGTTCTGGGAAGGAAGAGGCCGAGCAGGTTCTGCGCTAGAGGAACAGAAAAAGAACAAGGATGCCATGCGAGGACAGGAAACGGGAAAGAACAAGATACTGACACTCCCAACCCCCATTCCATCTGCCTGATCAGCTTGTCTGGGCTCATCCCCAGATGCCTGTGTCTTCAAGCCAAGGTTTTGCTCAAGGACCCACCTTCTATTAACTCCTTGCAGAGGTGGTAACTCAACACCTCCCTGCTCTCTGAGATGGGGACTCTGCTTACTACAGCCTCAAGCCCATCATCTTTCTGCTTCAGCCTCCTGTGCCTTTAGGTGTAGGGATAAGTCCCACCCCTTAGGGGGGCGTGTTCGCCTCAGGCTAAAGTTTTCCTATAAATTTGGCGAGCGTGCTCCCAGCGCTCGCTTCTGCTTTCCTGGTCTCTGCGGGAACGGTGGTTCTGTAAGTCTATTCCTCCATTAAAGCTGTCTATATTTTGACAATCTGTCTGCATTCGCTTACGCCGTTACATTTTGGTGCCCAACGTGGGGCTCGAACCCACGACCCTGAGATTAAGAGTCTCATGCTCTACCGAACATCGCCCCCATGTCAGCTTGAAGCAATCTTAGAGGACAACGTCCCCTCTCCCAACAGAGTTTGCCCTCAGGGTTAGGGACATCTTTTAGTGGTTGGTTTGGGGTTGAGGGAATGGGGAGATGTTTTATGGAATTAGGGGTATGTTCGAAAAAAAAAGGGGGGGGATTAACTGGTTTGATGGGATGATTGGTATTTGTGAGTTACTGT